CGCAGGCCCGTGTCCGTGACCCACAGGTCGGGGGAGAGGCTGGAGGCTCCCGTAGGCTCGTGTCTGTGATCCATAGGTCTGGGGAGAGTCTGGAGGCTCCTGCAGGCTCATGTCTGTGACCCATAGGCAGGGGAGAGGCTGGAGGCTCCTGCAAGCTCGTGTCTATAATCCATAGGTCAGGCGATTGGAAGAGTGAAGAGACGGAGTTCCGGGAAAATGTCTGCTGATACTCTGGTGGCAGAACACATGCTAGGGAAGCTTCCTTTCTGCTCTTAAGGCTTCAACTGATTGACTGAGCCCCTGCCCCTGACCCCACACTATGGAGGGTAATATGGTTTACTTAAGGCCAACTGGTTTAGTCTCGTGTAACCACTGCATAACGGAGTCTAGACTGCTGTTTGAGCAAACTGGGCACCATGGCCTAGGCTGTGTAACAGCCGTCACAGGCTCCACAGCCCGCTCTCTAATGTCACCTGTGCCTTCCCACTGAAAGGCCTGTGGGCAGACTCAGCTCCCTGGGGAACCCTGTGTGGGAGGTGCACCAGGGCCTCTAAGGAGAGTCACTGTCTCCCTCCTCCCCTTCATTTTTGGGAACCTTCCGGTCAGGTTCCGGCGGGCTTTGTTCTCAAAGCACATTCCTAGAGCTCTCGGGAGATGCCTCTGTTCGTGAAACCCACGGGCTGGGCAAGCAACCCGGCCACCATGCAGAAGGAGGAAGCAGCTGTTGGGTGGACCCCAGATCCCTCCCCGACGCAGTACTTCCTGCCTCTTCCTGGGAAGGCCCCTCTTTGGGGGTGGGTGGACCACACTGTGAGCGGCTTGTGGGTCTTACCGGGGGTCTGTGAGGCCCTCTAGCCAGAAATGCCTCTCTTGGTAGTCACAGGAGATCTGAGGTTCCAGTTTGTCTTGGAGGCCCGGCTGTTTCTGGGTGGGTGCCTCTGCTCCCTCCCTGTGTACCTCCAGCCATTGCTGTGCTTGACCTTGGCGGTGCTGACCTGGAGCTGAGGGCTCTGAGCCACGCGTGGCTCAGGGCTGGCGGTGTGTGGGCTCTAGGCCAGTCTCCCCACCCCTGGCTGCCACTTCTGGGCCCGTAGTCCACAAGGTATGGCTTCTCTGCCCTCCCCCATCTCACTCGCCCCAGGCAGTGAGCACTGTGCTGGAGAGACGTCTCTGGAGACCACTGACAACAGCTGGGCCAGGGTGTGGGCCAGGGCCAGAGCGTGGCTGACGCTGATGGTCCCAGCAGTCAGCCTTGACGGCTGTGGCTGCCCTATGGTGCCAGCGAGGTGTGTGCCAGCGAGGCAGGCTGAGGTGCTAATCCCACCACTAACAGAGTCCCAGCAGGGTGGGACATCCACACACATCAGCTTCCAGAGCCAGACGCTCTCACTGCCTGGCACGTGGCTCCCTTTGCAGAAGGAGACCTTCACGGCTCAGCCTCTGAGCCCGATCTTTGCCCCATGGGCCTGAATAGAGTACGCTGGCTCCACCAGACATCTTCCTCCTGAGTCCTGGGGGCAGCCGCAGACCATGCCCGTGAGGCCACAGCAGAGGGCGTAGAGTGTGGTCAGCACCACACGGGCCCTGGAGGGGTGACTGGGGTGATAGTGTACAGCTGTGGTGGGGTGGGGGGAAGCCCTGCAGGACCCCAGCAGCAGGTCCACGCGGTAGCTTTGGCTGTAGCTTCCCTGAGCTTGGCGGCCTCCTACGGCCCGATTCTCCTGGGGGTCGGAGGAGAGCATGTCCCTAGCTCAGCGTGGGGTGTCTCCCGAGGGGCAGTGATGGGAAACGTGAACCATCTCTCTCCGTCTCTTCCTCCTCCCAGTGGGTATATAACATTCTCGAGAAGAAGGCTGAAGCCGACCGGATTGTTTTCGAGAACCCAGATCCTTCTGATGGCTTTGTCCTCATCCCTGACCTCAAGTGGAACCAGCAGCAGGTAAAAGGTTTCTTACTGGGGCTCCCTGGTCTCGAGTACCTGCATCAAGTCGCCAGCCCTCCTTAGGGAGCTGCCCTTTTCTCTCTTGACTCCTCAGCAGATTGTAATTAGCCTGCACAGGGAGCCTGTGCTCTCTGCGGTGACAGAGTGCATGCTGTCATTCACAGGCACTTCTGCTTTCACGGGTGACCTTAAGGAAGCCCTTCCTAGCTCCTCTCCCACCCAGGCGTGAAGGATGTGGTAATGTTCATGTCCATGATCACACATCTTAGCCAGCCAGGCAGCTGGGCCGCCACCTTCCCTTCCAGGAGCTTCTGGAGCCCTGAGTGGAGCGTTTACACTCTGTCCCTTTGACACCACCAGCCACGAGCTCCGGTGAGCCACACCAGGGATCCCCTCAAGCCCGTGTGACAGTAGGTCCTCCAGGGATCTAGGCTTCCGTGAGGAATCCCATCAGGCCGCTCAGTTCTCTGTGACCTGGCCTTCTCCCGGCCTTCCTTCCAAGGTGCCTCTTTTCAGCTGACCCTCTTCACTCACAAGTGTCCGTCTCTGGTTCTCTGTAGCCTCTCCCTCTCTCCGTCTCCCTTCCTCCCTCCCGTCCTCTCTCCCATTCCAGCCCGTCACAGTTGTAACTTGCCATGCCCTTCTTGGGTGAGACTTCTACGTGGCAGTATTGGGGACGTGCAGAGCCATGTTACTGGGGGGTTGTTCACACTGTGGACTGAGGGAGGCAGCTGCCACAGGAGAGGGGGGCCGGGAGAAGGCCGAGGAGGGCAGAGGTGGGAGAGTGGGGATGCTCCAGCCTGGGCCTTGCTGCTTTGCTTTACAGCCATCTGGCTGCTTTGCCCCTCCAGTCAAGAGACCAGCACGCACAGGAGCTGTTCTGGAGCATGAGCCCCATCTGCCGCTCCTGGGCCCCTTCCTTTCTCACCTGTCACCTGGCCTTTAGGCCTTTTGAGCACTCTTGAAGTTTGCTTGTTTTGGATTGGGTGGTTTCTAGAACCTCCACAGGGGGCTGAGGATCTGTGGTCGGGCCCAGAGGCAGACAGGCAAGTGAATGGCATCTCCGTCTCCTGATGGCGGTTCCTGAACATGGCTCAGAGGGTGGTAGGGCCTTTGCAGGGAGTTTCCCGAAGCTGGAGCCTGAGTGCTGATTTATTAGAGTCAAGTAAGATCTCAGCAGGTGGCCTCTCCACATGTGGGGTATCGTAGCAAGAGGCTTCTGCTCGTCTGCCTTCCCTGCCCCGGCAGGTTAGGCCCACCCACACCCCTGCCAGGCCTCGCACACGAAGCCAGCACTGGGTCCAGAGAGGTTTGGGGAACTGGGGTGAAGCCACTGAGTCAGGAAGATGGAGGACAACCCTGGGCAGCACCCTCGTGACACTCTGCAAGCCCGTCTCTCTCCTGCAGCCACGTGCCTGGAGCTTTCAGATTGCAGAGGGCATGGGAGCGGGGTGGGTGGGACAACTTGTGACGTACAAGACCCCTGAAGATTGAAGAGCTTGAGGTTTGCAGGGAGACCGTGGCTGAGGGCAGCAGAAGATCGTCTTGTCCATTTCCATCAAGAAAGGCCTGGATGCCAAGCTCTGTCCTCCCTCTGGCCCAGTGCTGCTTGGCATCCTGCCTTGTCTGCTGGTGAAACGGTCCTCTCCGGGTTTCAGGGACTCCACTGGGCTCCTGGCCATATAGCTCAAGCTCCTCGCCCTCAGGGAAACCAGAGGTTGTGAACGGGCCAGCTTAAATGTCAAGCTTTCCTTGCTTGTGCTGCAGGTGGGGCTGGTCTTAACCTCTGCTTCTTTCCCGTCTGTCTCCTGGCCTGCTGTATTTCAGTTCCTCGAATCCTGACTTATGACAGTGCCCTGAGGTCGATAGCTCCCTCAGAACGAAGCAGCACGTCTGCAGGGAGTCGTGCCACACCAGGCTTTTATTCTTTGTCCTTGGACCAGGGAGTGACTGAGGAAAGGGCTGCTCTGGTGTTTGCTTTGGGGAGCCACCGTTTGTCACCTCATGCCACTTGTCCCAGAACTGTACCTCTGCTTCCCCCAAACTGATGGCTCTGCATTAGGGGCCCTTTTTCCATCTGTTCACCTGTCCATGTGTCCATCCATCTATCCATTTACCCATTCAACAGATATTTATCAAGTGTCTTCTGTTTGCTAGGGACTCTTCCTCCACTAGAAAGTCCTTGGGTGGTACAAACGGTTAATATGCTCGGCTGTTAACCAAAAGCTTGGTGGTTTGAACCCACCCAGAGGCGCCTTGGAGGAAGATCAACCATTGAAAACCCTGTGGAGAGCAGTTCTTCTCTGACACGCATGGAATTACCATGAGTCGGAGTTGACTTAATGCCAACTGGGGTTTTTTATTCCCCCCTGGAGGTTAGGAACATTCCTTCCTCAGTCCTCTTAAGAGATCACCCAAAAAAAAAGTCTTTTTGACTTTTTTTTTTTTCTTTTAGCGTCTAGTTAATACATACATGTGATAAAAATACAATAACACAGCTGGTTCCTGGTTTCTTGGTCTCTTATTAGAGTCAGTCTTTGCATGGTGTTTGTGGAGTTATACGTGTACGTGTGTATGTAGACACACATGCATTTTCAGGGCATGTATTGTAAGTTGATTTGTCCCAAGGTCTCAGACACGAAAGAGTGTTTCAGACACTTCCTTTGAGTCACTCCTCAGATTGAGAGATGGCTCCCCAAAGCGCCAGCCCTTCTCTGTCTCGCCCCTTGCCAGAAATCCCTTACTCTGATGTTACTGTCTGGCCTTGTAAACAAGGCTGACAGTGTCTGTCTCCCCAGAGTGAGTGACGGGCCACTTGGCGAGTGCCAGCGTGGGGCCCTTGCTGCCTCTTGTCTAGCTTTCTTCAGATCCTTCCTCGGGGCTGGGGCCCTGGTGCCACCCGCAGAAACCTCGGGCCAGGCCCAGTGTCAGAGTATGGGTCTCTCTCACCCCTCCCCCTGCCTGGGAGCCGACACGCAGCCCCCAGATCCGTGCCCCATTCCATGCCAGTGGAGCAGAGAGGTGTGACTAATGTCATGTTGGGATTTGTCAGCAGACGTCATCTAAAACAAATGCTACTATTATCTGGGAGTCCTGCCACAGTGACACGGAGAACAGCTGAAAATGCACTCGCCCCTTCGCAGACAAATGCATGCACACACACCAAGTACAGGCGGGCATTTTATCCCCTGGCTTCTCCTTGGACCCCTGCATAGTGAGAGGAGATTTCCTGGGCATAGGCCATGAGCAGGGAGGATCCAGAAGGTACTGGTGGGCTCAGCCCTGTGCTGGGAGGGTCCCAGTGGGCTCATCAGCAGCTGGGCTGGGCAAAGAGCAGAGAAGGACATCTGTGGCGTGAAGATGCTGTGATAATCCGACACTGGGCAATCATCTGGAAAATCTCGTTTTCTGTTTTTAAATCGGGGGCCCTGGGTTTGTTTGGTTGGGTGACTCACGGTCCCCAAATGATCTCCACGAGGAATCTAGCAGCTTAGTCAGCTGGGGTCTCCCTATGGCAGAAGTTCTGTGTCTTGCTGGGGTTCCCCAGGCCTGTCCCCAGAGCCCTGAGGTCTGGGGCCTGCCTCACACATGGACATGACAACCCAGGCAAAGCCAGGGTGAGTAGGGGGACTGGGGTCTCCTGGCCCGAGGAAGAGCTCGTTTGCTCTCTGGCACATGATCTTGTTGACTCTGGTTCTATGCACCATGGTGGCCTCCAGGTCTTCAGCCAGGCTCTGTTTGTAGGAGAGGCAGCCTGTGAGCCCACCGAGTTAGGGAGATGGGTTAGCCACCCTGGTGTGCTCCGTGCTGAGCTGGTCCTGGTGTCCTCTCCACCCTCAGCCCCCTCTGTGCCTTCACAGGCCTTTACTCCTGACCCCTCACGCTGCCAACTCTCCCTTCTACATGCCACCTGAGTTTCCTAGTGTTGCTGTGACGGAAATACCACAAGGAGGTGACTTTAAAGAACAGACCTTTATTTTCTCACAATTCTGGAGGCCAAAAGCCCAAATCAGGCTTTGGGCCGTGTGGACTCTGTCCTTGTCAGTTGCCCTGGGCATTCCTTGGTCCTGTGTCTCATCGGCTGTTTTGATAACGCAGAGGTGAGTAGGTTTAGGGCACACTCTACAGTGATATGGCCTCGTTAACTTCAACTATTTCCAAACAGGATTACACGCACAGGTCTAAGGGCTAGGATTCCAGCACATTCTTTGGGAGGGCACAGTCCGATCCCTAACTCATACCCCATGCTTTCTTGCCTCTGGGCCTTTGCTTTTGCTCTTCTTCTACCTGCATGCCCTGTCTCCAGACCTGCGTCCCCTGCTTTCTCTTCTGAGAAGCCTTCCTTGAGCACCCCAGTTAGGCGGTCTGCCCTTCTTCCTCCTGTACTTCACCTGCATTGTATCCCTCTGTATCTTATAGTTTGTTTCTTATTTGCACACCTTGGGACTGTAAACTCTTTAAGGAGTTGTTCTTTGCTCTCTCTTGAACCTCCTGCCCCACCCTGTGTAGTGAGTGCATTCCAAGTACCCACCATGTGGCAGTCGGAGCAGGAAGAAGACGTAGGAGGTCTGCCTTACACTGCCCCCACCCCGGGCACGAAGGCCCCCTCTCTGCCTGGGAGCACTGCTGCCAGGGCATCATCCACTGGATCAGTGGCTGGCACAGTGGACTGGGGGTGAGCGCTTCCTGGGGAGTCCCAGGGCTGGCGGCCTCCATGGCTCTGCACCCTCCAACCTACTGAACCTGGGCGCCCCTCTGGCGTCCCCCTGCCTGCCTCTGCATAGCTCGATGACCTGTACCTGATTGCCATCTGCCACCGCCGGGGCATCAAGTCACTGCGGGACCTGACCCCAGAGCACCTGCCGATGCTGAGGAACATCCTCCAGGAGGGGCAGGTGAGTCACCATGGCGGGACCCATCTCCAAGCCTGGAAGATCACACTCAGGTTCCAGTGTGTCCCTGGGCCACCTCCGTGCCCTTCCTAGAGGTCCGTCCTACGACGGGCTTCTCTCTGGGGGCCAGGCATGGGGACCACGGGAAGGTTCTTCAGATGGATGGACAAGACCCTCTGTCTCCTAGCCCTCCAGCCCGCCCTCAGCTGCCTTTCCTCCCCCCAGACTCACCTTCCCCCAGCGTAGGGACATGATTTGGGTCCCCATCCGGGATGTGCCTCTCCTCTCCCGCACCCCACAGACTCCTGTCCAAAGCCTTGAGCCTTCCCCGAGGCCCTCAGTATCATCGGCGTCCTCCGGATTCTTGCCCCACAGATGACCTCTCCTCTCATGACAGCCACGCCGTGGTGACGTGTGTACACACACAGACCTGTGCTATCTTACCTTCATCCATATTGAGGGCAGACGGAATTCTGTAGCACCTGGCATTCTGGGGTGCTGTCTCTCTGGGTGCTCGTTGAACTGAATGAAATCGGGGCACTAAAGGCAGCCCCGGGTATGGAGGGGTGGGAGAAGAGAGTCCAGATTCTTGGTTCTGACACATCGACCCTGACTGGCTGATTGTCCTTGGGCAAATCAACCACCTCTCTAGACCTCGGGATCTGAAGCGGATCCCTTCTAAGCCCACCAGGCTACGGGCTGGGTTCTCAGCCTTTCTTCCACTCTGACACACTTAAAGACACTGCCTCCTTGAGCGCCCGGGACTGACTGTCACAGGGATGCCCAACCAAGAGGAAGGCGCGCCCCCTTCCCGGCAGCCGTGTCCCCTTCCTGGCAGCCGTGCCCCCTTCCCGGCAGCTGTGCCCCCTTCCCGGCAGCCGCTGCTCTGAGGCTTTACTGCAGCCCTGGCGGAAAGGCGCCGGCTGGCCTTGGCTTTCAGGTCCCAGCTCCACGCTGGGCCTGTTCTCTCTTCTGTTTTCTCACCTCCTCCCCGCGGCCGTACACCCCTCCTGCCTGCCCACACACCACTGGCTCCCTAGCTGCCTTTGACCTTTTAGAGGTGACTCATTTTCATTATGACATAACCTCGAGGTGCCAGGGCTGGCAGCACAGTGTCTCCCTCCCGGGGTGTTGCTGAGCCAGCACCTGGACCTGCCCTGGCGGCTTAGGGGTCCTCCCCCGGGGGGGACAGCCCTGCTTATCCAGATTCCGTTAGGTCTCCCCCTGTGGTAGCTCCATTGGCAAATATGATTCCGGGGTGAATCTGAGCTCCCTGAGCCTCCCACCTCTTTCTCTTTACTCCTGACCACGGGGATTTGCTCAGAGTGGAAACCAGAGCCTCCTCTAAGCACCAAGCCTTGGGAGCCAGGCCAGAGTCCACGCCCTTCTCTGGGTTATGCCTTCTCTAGGTCTGTCTGGGAGACCCTGGGCGGCGCATACAGTTAACATGCTTGCTGCTAACTGAAAGGCTGGAGTTCATATCCACCCAGAGGCACCTCAGAAGGAAGGCCTGGCAACCCACTTGCGAAAGGTCACAGCCCTTGACAACCCTGTGGAGCACAGTTCTGCTCTGACACATGGGGTCGCTGTGAGTCAGGGTCCACTGGCAACTGGTGTTTGGTTTGTTTGGGTCTGCCTGGAAGCTGCCTCCCCTCCTCCTTCTTCAGCCCATCCCCCTCTCCATTGTTTCCAAGCTCCCTCCCATCTGCTCACTGATAACAGTTACTAAGTGCTTAATCAGGGGAAGGGCTGCCCGCTCAGTCCTGGGAACCTGGGCCTGCTCTCAGGCACTGGGACCCCCGAGATCCCAGCAGCAGCTGTCTGACAGAGGACATGTTCACCAGGGTGGGGTGGGGACCCTCTCCCTCTGCTGCTGTCACCTGCATTTGTGGATTTCCTCCAGCAGAAGGCAGAGGCCCAAAGCGAACAGTGGACAGAGAGTACCACGGAGGGTGTTTACTAGATGCCCAAAGGTTGGGCAGCTCCAGGCTGCTGTGAGTTGCCGTGGAGTCAATTCCGACTCATGGCGACCCCTTGTGTGCAGAAGTCGGACCTCTTGGTTAGTGGTCGCCACCCGGCGGCCTCTAGTTCCCTGCTAGCCCAGGATGAAGACAGAGCAGGCTTCTGGTGGGAGACGTGTCACTGGTGCCCTGCAGCTCAGTGACCCTCTTGGTCCCCTCGCCTTCTCACCAGGAAGCCATCCGGCAGCGCTACCAGGTGACGGGGGACCGCCTCCGGGTGTACCTGCACTACCTTCCCTCCTACTATCACCTGCACGTACACTTCACAGCCCTGGGCTTCGAGGCCCCTGGCTCTGGGGTGGAGCGGGCGCACCTGCTGGCAGAGGTGATTGAAAACCTGGAATGTAACCCAAGGCACTACCAGCAACGCACCCTCACCTACGCCCTCAGGACTGACGACCCCCTGCTCCGGCTCCTGCAGGAGGCCCAGAAACGCTGAGTCGGCCCAGGAGCTGCCAGGCCAGCCAGTGTGTGGCCGCTGGGGTGGGGGCTGGGTGGAAGAGGTGGTTTTATCACCTAGTACATTTTTTTTAAATGTATTTTGTACTAGCTGATTCCTGGTAGGTGAATAAAGTGTTGGGATCACTGGGTGTGGACTGATTGTTCTGGGGAAGCACATGGGGTGGGCAGAACCAGTGGAAAGTTCTTGAGAAGAGAGGGAAGTTGTGGGGTGGTTTAGCTGACGTGTGACAGCTGGCCTGGGAGGGCTCCAGAGGCCTTCTCAGAATCTCTGAGCTCATCATCCTGTGCTGATTTCCCTGTGCTTTGACTTTGCCTCTTCCTGTTAGCGGGCCTTCCTGCTCTGCGCCCCTGCCTCTCTTCCTTCTTGTTTTCTGTACCTTTCGAGTGGTCCTCTAACTCGATGTGTCTGGGGTTCCCCAGAACTATGAGGTGTGAAGCCTTTGTGACAACAGTCTAGGGAGTTTTGGGGGTAGCACTTCCCCTTGCCTGCTTCGGTGACTTGGTCACACCCCCACCTATGAGTCAGCCCTGTCCATAAACTTGTTGGGAAGGATGGAGGGCCGATGCCTGGACGTGGGGGGGTTTCAGTGAGAATCAGATGATGCAAGCGCAAAATGCCTGCCCCTGCCTGGGATTGGGTCAGCAAGGCCCTGTCTGTGAGTTCATTATCTTGGCAGGAAGACAACAAATTCGCAGGAAGCAGCCAGAAGATCAAGTCTAAAATACTGTGTGAACAAGGGCACAATGATATGGCTGTGTTGGATACAAAAGCTGTGAGGGGCTCAAGCTCAAGGTATGATCAGCGTCACAGGTCTCTGTTCATAGACTGTTGAGGCCAGGGAAGGGGACTTACAGTGTTGGGGACAGATGGCCTGTTAGCAGACTGTTAGGGGGTGACCTAGGAAGGGTGACATCTACCCCAGCTGCAGCAGAACAGGGACACGGCACACATGTTGAGGACAAGGAAATAAACACGGATAACTTTCCAGTGAGTCCCTGGGAGATGCAAACGGTTAAGTGCTTCGCTGCTAACCAAAAGGTTGGAGTTTCAAGTTCACTGAAGTGCCTTGGAAGAAAGGCCTGGTGACCTACTTCAAAAAATCAGCTATTGAAAACCCTATGGAGCATAGTTCTACCCTGACACACATGGGGTCACTATGAGTTTGGGTTGCCATGAGTCGGAGTCAGCTCAACGGCAACTGGTTCTGTTTCCAGCACAAAGAACAGAGAGTGTCTGGTATTTGCTGTGGGGTCAGGATGTCTTTCCACCTAGTGGAGGAAATTCTCAGGGGAGGTAGGATGCTGGCTTCTGCCTCAGTGACAGGAGGGACGCACAGGCAGCGAAGGTGGCTCTTTGCCGCATTCCCGGGACTTAGACCAGGAGACCTGGATTCAGATTCTGCTTCCATTCATTTGTTCTCACGTGTTTATTGAGCACTTACTGTGGGCCAGCCAGTGCCCTGAAAAAATCCCGTTGCTGTCAAGTAGATTCTGACTCATAGTGATCCTATGGGACAGAGTAGAGCTGCCTCCCAGGGTTTCCAAGGAGCGGCTGGTGGATTCATGCTGCCAACCTTTTGGTTAGCAGCTGAGCACTTAACTGCTGCACCACAAGGGCTCCAGGCAGTACCCTGGATACTGGGAAAATGGTGAACAAGCAGCCAGAAGTCTCTCCTTTCTGGAGCTGATATCACCCCAGGACACTGGACAAGATACAAGGCATCCTGAGCCTGCTTCCTCATCCGGAATGAGGATCCCGTGAAATGATCTTCTGTGTGAATACAGAGCGTTACTGTTGCTTTGCCTCAGACTCGGCTTTACTGATTGACTCTTGAGCGAGGCAGTACACTAGGCATTGCAGATACGGAGACAGTAAAGCATAACCTCTACCCTCAAAGCACTCTCCGTCTTACAGGGAAGGCAGACAAGCGAACAGTTAAAAGAAAAAAAATAATGCGCGTGAAGCTGCTTTGAAAACAGTTACATATGAGAGTTCATTACCCTATAAAGACGTATTAAGTATGTGTTTGGCATCTCAGAAGAACTGGGCACAGTGACCCACCTAGTGCACCTTCAGCACGTGGCTGGGCTCCTGTCAGGACTCCCTAAGGCGAATGATGAGCCTGAAGGGGACTGGGTCGCCCGGAGTAACTGTCACCTTGGGGGGGGCATCCACTTCCACTCCTGTCAGGTGGCTGATGTGTTTCTCCTGGAGACCCCAGCAGCAGGATATTTGATGGTTCTCGGTGAAAACATCTGCCAGGCCTCAGGCAGGGGCTGTCTTTCTCAGTGGATAGAAAAAATAAGAGTGGTGAGGTCTTACGGGTTGAATTATGCCCCCGAAAAAGATATGTTGGAGTCTTAACTCCCATATCTGTGAACATGACCTTGTTTGGAAATAGGATCTTTGAAGATGGCATCAGTTAAATCAACATGAGGTCATACCGGAGTAGGGTGGGTCCTGATCCTAGTCCTTAACAAAGAGGAGAGACAGAGAGACACGGGGACTTAGGCTGCTGCAAACCGGGGAATGTGTGGAGCTACTGGAAACCGGGAGAGGCAAGGAAGGACTTTCCTCTAGATCCTTGAGAGAGCTCCCAGCCTCTAGAACTGTGAGACAGTACGTTTCTGTTTGCCGCCCAGTTTGTATGCTTTGTTATAGCAGCCCACGGTGACTAATACAGTCTAAAGAGGAGACCTCTTCTGAACTGTCATGAAGATGAATGAAGCCGGGGAGAGGAGAGGAGACACGGTCCCAGAGAGCCTCTTATAGGGTGGTGGTGTTGACTGCCACTGCGTCTGCCCCAACTCATAGCGACCCCATGCACAACAGAACAAAATGCTGCCTGGTCCTGCGCCATCCCCACGATCAGATGTGGATCGGACCGTTGTGATCCACAGGGTTTTTACTGGCTGGTTTTTGGAACTAGATCTCCAGGCCTTTCTTCCTAGTCCATCTTAGTCCGGAAGCTCCGCCGAAAGCTGTTCAGCATCACAGCCACACGGAAGCTCCACTGACAGGAAGGGTGGTGGCTGCATGTGAGGTGTATTGGCTGGGAATCAAACCCGCGTCTCCCACATGGAAGGCGAGAACTCTGCCTCGGAGCCATCGCTGCCTCTTCTTACAGAGTAGAGGGATCTAGTCCTGGGCACATCATCGTCTCCATGACAGACCATGTTCTGTCAGCAGGAGTCTCACTTGGCTTCACACAGGGTGTCTTTGGAAGAGACTAAGTAGGTAACCAAACCTGAACCAAAAGGGAGGCAGAACTGGCCAGCCCCGCAGGGGAGCCGGGAAGCTGCCCATGGTACTGGGCTTTTATCTCCCGGGAACTGCGTCCCGGGAAGGAGCTCTCTGCCTCTCCAGACTTCACCCCCTGTCCTCTCTTGGCTGTGACTTCCTCGTCTGGTCTGTCCTGTTCTCCTCGTCCCTCCTCACAGGTCCATCCATCCATCCATCAAATGTCTACTGGCTATCTTCCATGAGCCAAGCACCACAAGTAGATGATGGGGACACAAAGGCCAGCAAGGCCCTGTTGACCTGCACCCTCAGGTCCTCAGTTCAGTGGGGACAGGAATGCATGTGATGAAGCAGGAGGTGAGGGTTGTCCTAGAGGGAGACGGTGCTTACGTGGCACAGCCAGCCCTCCGAGGGCAGGAAGGCCACTTCTTCCCTAGCGTCTGGGTGGGAGTAACTAAGACCCAGTGAAGCTGCCACAGGACACCCAGGAAGCAGCCCCGCCAGCTGGGAACTGCCTTGGGAAAAGACCCAGGGGTTCTGCCTCCTGCCCCCAAAGGCCCCAGCAGTGGCCGTTCTCACTGCGCACAAGAATATCTGCTTTTGGAACAGGAAGCAGCTGGCCAGATGTGTGGTGTGCCGTGAAGTGGACCTGTTGACTCTAAGGCATGCCTGTCTTCGTTGCCACCTACAGCGGTTCCTTTGCTGCATCTCCATCTTACCTGACTCCCGGAGTTCCTGAAGAGTTGCAGGGAAGAGCTAGCGAGTTCACCAGCAGAGGGGCCCATTGCTTGGTTATGCCTGTTCTCAACTCCGACAGCTGCGAGCAGGGCTGTAAGTCCCTGCATTCTGACCTCTCACTACACTCCTGCCGTCTCTAGGGATTCTCTGTTCCCAGGGGCTGGAGGGGTCCAACAGCAGCTCCAGTATGGGCAGTGGGCCTGGAGCAGGTGGCAGCTCGTGGGCCACCACCTGAGGGCTTTCACCTGCAAGAAGAGCTAGACTCTGAACCCAGGTCTCTTGGTTCTGAGTCCAGGGAATGCAGAATAATAGCCACCCCTCCCTGCCTTAGGAGTCCTGGGTGGCACAAATGGTTAAGCACTCGACTACGAACCAAAAATTTGGTGGTTTGAACCCACCTGGAGGAGCCTTGTTAGAAAGGTCTGGTGATCCGCTTCCGAAAGGTCACAGCCTTGAAAATCCTATGGAGCACGGTTCTGCTGTGCAACACATGGGGTCACCATGAGTCAAAATCTACTCGACAGCAACTGGTTTTTGCCTTATGCTGTCCTTCTATCACTTAAGCAGAACTCAGCATCCTACCTCCCCTGAAAAGCTTCCCGAGCAAGACTTAGGTTCCCACTGCCTTATCTTGACTAAATAGCAAATGCCTGCACCCTCTCTGGCAGCAGGACCGTCCTTAGTGCTGGAAAGTGTTACTCGTGTGTTTAACTGCGTGCCCTCCACGCACATGCCTGTGTCCCTGCTCTGTTAGAGCGTGGTGCATATCACCTTTCCCAGATGCACTCCGCGTGGCTCCACAACTAGCTGTCAGCCCCCAACACGTAGCTGCTTTATTCCTGGGAGGAAAGAAGAGGTTGGAGCCATGACTGCTATTGTTATTTGGCTGCTCTCAGTTTGCCCAGAAGTTTCCTCATAGAGCAAACTTGCAGAGTGATCTGTTTGTCAACATTCCTTAACACAACAGAAAAATAACATATTGAAAAGAGTTGGGCATTCACGCTCCGCTTTGCTGGTCCCTGTTGAAAACAAATCCCCAAACTGAGAAGCAAACAATTACATCCGCAGGTATAGGGGTTATGATTCCAACCCATGTTTTGAGGGGAACAAGTCAATCCACAAGAACATGATAATAATAGTTGTT